CAAACTTCTTTTATTGGAGATTATGAACGTGAAAATCTCACTTATAAAGAAAGCTCCCCAACAATGAGCTGCACTTCTTTTATGCAAAATTCTACACCGTGAACATAATAAATTGCAAAGCAAACCCCTAATTCCTATTAACAACATAATGCATCAAAATCTTCATTTTACAAAGTAAACATTAACAAAAATAAAAAATAAAAATTGCAAAGAACCATCCCAAGTTGTGTGCAGTTGTGTTCTCAGCTTGGTCGAGGTACGAGAGAAGAGAAGATATGCTTGTTGGAACATTAGGTTGTGACTGTATCAGAAGAAGTTTTGAATACAACAAGTCGGCTTTAACATATGGTTATGATTCAAATTCTGTTTTTGGTCACTGTCATCATTCCATGGTGATTAATTCTAATCATGATAATTCAGATATGGTTGAAAATGTTTGTTTTTGCATTGGCAGAGAGGGGGTTCTTGCAATGGAGCTAGTGTTGCCTCTCTTTCAAGACAATTAAAATCAATGTTATCTGAGATTAGATGAAGGATTCAATAGATTTTTCAGGAATGAGAGCAGTGAGTTTGTTTATTGTCTAAGAAATTAGATTATTGTTTGCCAAATATTGTCCAGGAGATTTTGTCTTTGGCTAATCGGTTTTTGTCGTGAGGAAAAGAAATCTGCTTGTCACGACCATTTAGCTTCATTGTTTCTTATTGATTATGCTCTGGAGCAAAGAGAGAATCTTCTCACAGCCTCTTGCTTGCAAGTGATGCTAAGAGAGCTTCCGGGGTGTTCGCAAAACTCAAAAGTTATGAATATTGATGACCTCGAAATTGTGATCAATAAATTTCTCTCATCTAATAACCAGAGTTTACTCCTCCTAAACCCACTGATTTTATGCTTAAGCAGGAATGTGACGAGAAGTAACTATTTGACATAAAGATATTCATATTTGTATATCTTTCTTTGCTCCCAACTATATTTATTATAGCTTTCTAATAACTGAATTTGTTAGCTTTTAACTTTTCATTCACAAATCCACGTATTCCTCCATCATTAGTTGTCAAGTCATGCTTTACATTCATAGTCGTGTGCTCTCTGATAAGAGTTTCTATAGATGTGAAAAAGCTGATGAAATCAGTTGAGTACATTTGTTCATTGTTTACGCTCGAGATTGACTATAAACTTGCTTATCTTTTCTTGGGATTGCACATAGTTTGGTTGTCTCTAAAAAAGTTTGATTGACAGAGGCGTGTGTTCGCTACTATTCTTTTGTAATTTTTAATTGACGACAAATAGTTCTTGAAGTTCAAGTTTAATTATTTATGCTTGGTTTAGGACTCGATTATTTAATTTCTATATTATGTAAACTTAAATTTTTTTTTTATTATATCTGAATTTATTTTGATAATATGGGCTTCTCATAATATATGGTGACAAACGAGCCTAAAATTTTAAGGAGCTTTTCAGCTGGTTTATACGGCTTATTTGATTATGGATGAAAATGAGGTTGGATAATTAACAAATAGTTCCTGAAATTCGAGCTTAACTATTTATGGTTAAATAGTAAACTTGTGGTCTTGAGGCAAGGGTTTTAGCCCCCGTTCGGCCCCCATTAATTTTTATTCAATTACATTTCATTTTCATCTCCTATTTTCAACTACACAATCTTTCATAAAATAATATTACACGAAAAATTTTCCTTCTTTTTCAACCACTCATTTTTCAAAAAAAACACTATTTCACCCATTTCCATTTCCAAAAAATGGGAGCCAAACGGGGGCTTAATATTGAAATACTCGAGGGTATTTCACCCACCAACAATAGTGACGTGCTGCACGATGAAGGCAAGTGTTATGATTGTAGCCGTTTTTTGAGTATAAATGTAGCTATTGTGTGTTTCAAGGTACATTGTCTATGCTCATTTGCTCATGTGATGTAGTCTGTTCGTTTGAAGTATTTTTGGGGGGCATCTTTGTATTCAGTTGCTGGATTGCTTATTTCCTCGAGGGTCAAGATTATTGCAAACATGGTCCAACAATATTCTTCATCAGGGATCATGAATATGATATTTTTGGTTTTATTACCATTCTTTACTCTTTCAAAGTTTCTTTCTTTGGTCATTTTTCTCCGACCATTGTGTATCAGATGCTTAAGGTGTTTCTGGCGATTTCCCTTTTGCTTCTTCCTCTTCAAAATCCTTCAAATCTTTTCTTATATAATATGTGCTGTGTACTTTTGCTTCTTCTCATGCATTTTTCTTCTCTATTTGTCATTAACTTCATCTTGGTGAGGTTCTGAGCTTGTTTGGTATTGCTTTTAAGCCAATTAAAACTATTTTTTTTTATATAGTTATTTCACTATTCTAGTCGTCTTTTTTTGAATTATTCTCTCACATGTAGAACTCATTTTATATCTAACGGTCAAAAAATCAATTATCAAAATCTCTACCAAACAAGCACTCTATCTAGAAGTGCTTAGGAGATCGATTTTGTAAGATGTCTTCTCAAAGTGATTCTCAAAACAAATCTCTTATTACCAAATAATGATATTCATAGTCGGTACTTATCCATAAGCAGATATGTGACATTTAGATAACTTGATAATTTGACATCTTAATTACAATCATAATGTAGGATGTAAGACGACAAGTCAATTATGTCACATCATCATTGATGATCGATAAGCACCTCTTATGAATAATAATAATATTCTTTACTCAAAGTGGGGAGTCTTCACGAAGTTGGTAATGGCTTTTATCACTTTGTTCCTTGTTTAGGGAATATGATAACCCATCACCCAGCTTTCTTTTTTTCTTTTTTTTCTAAGATAATGTTTTCCCATTTAATTATAGTTCTGCCAATTGTATCCACTTTTTATTTCATGTGACATTTTTTACTACACCATTTGTTATTCCAAAAAAAAAATAAAAAAATCAAAGATATATAACAACAAAGAAAAGTTTCCCTACAAGAGAAATGAGCTCAATCTAAGAGCATATCCAAGATATTCTATAAATACAAAATGTTCTTAATTTTAAAGAGAGAGTGCTTAAAAATAAGTTCCAAGAAACTCTCTTTTTAACTTTTTTAAAATAGAAAGCAAATTTTGCTCTTCAAATTTAAAATATCTCCAAAAGACTTTCTAAATACAAAACACTCTTTATCTCAGAGTGTCAATAATTAAAAATAAATTTTAAAAGACTCTCTATTTTAAAAACAGAATGAGTTTGGCTATCTACATTTAGATAGCACAACTTAACGTACAATAATAATATTTAATAAATTATAAATTTTAATATTTTATAATTTAAATTATTTAAATTAAATTTGAATTGATTGGTCATTAATATATAAAAATTATGTTAGGTAAAATATGGAAAGAAATTAATAAATACTCATTTGAAAAAAAATAAGAATAAAATAAAGAGTCAAAATAGAGAACTTGTTAAAATGCATAAATAAGTTTACTCTCTAAATTTAAAAATATTCTCTATTATTTATAAGATGCTCTTTATAAATAAAAAGTCTTGTGGAAATGTTTTTATAGTCAAAATTGCTCTATGTTCTTAATGTATAATGATTGTATTTTATAAGTCAAAGATTTCAATGCTCTAATTTTTAAATTATTCAAAACATATTTTAATTGATTGGACATTAATATGTATATAAAAAAAAATATGTTAAATAAAATGTGAGAAAATTCAACAAATATTACTTCAGAAAGGTAAAAATGAAGAGCCAAATAAAAACTAGGGAAATTGAAACAGTGGTCTCTAACCACATTATTATCATTATTTTTTTTTTTTGCAAACTTTATCTTAACTTTCATTTTATACTGCCCACAGGTCCAAACCTTTCGAAAATATACACCCGAGGTCCAAATTGATGAAAACCATCAATCTTACCGTTAGTTGACTAAAAGTGTCAAACTTTAATCAATTTTGAGCAAATTAAAAAAAAAAAAAACATATATATATATATATATATACAACTTTCAAACCCACCTCACCAGAAAACCATCCAGCGACTACCACTACTGTCGCTTGATGGTGTTTCCATTGGCCATATTAACAACAAAAATCAAATTCCATTTACCATCGCACCAATTACATCGACATCGCCAACTCCAACTACCACCACAGCTACTCCTTCAACATATTTACCACATTAACAATACAAATGAAATCCTCAAATGAAACTTCCATGTGGGTTAAGGATAAGGAGAGAGCCAGGGGGATCTCGAGAGTGGGATCGACATTATTGAGGAAGAGGAAGTTTTAGTAGGCAGGTTGAATTTTGAGGCCGTTGTACTGACAAGAGGTATTGCCCGAAGATTGCCATCGCACTTCTTGATTTTGTAATTTTAAAATGTGGTGATTTTCAGCCAATGGCACGATAGAGAGGAGCAACTAAACGAGAAAGGAGTAGTGATTTGGGTTTGATTTTGGAGTGATTTTGGGTTCGATTTTGAAGAGAGCAACAATGATTGCGGTGAATGGGAAGATGAAATTTTCGGGTTTGAATGTGATTTTTTCGTTTGGGTTCCATATGCTAGTGAAGAATATGGTGGCTGTGGGTTTGGTGGTGATAGCAGCAGTCATGGTGGTGGTGGACGGTAGTGGTGATTTTAGGGTAGGCGTGAGTTTGAATAGAATATGGAAGAGGATCATCGTAGGAGATGATGATGTTTTTTGATTTAATATTATAATTCTTTAATGTGAGAAAATTGTATACTTACCATTTTGTCCTTTTTATTTGGTCAAAATTGATCAAAGTTTGACATTTTTCGTCAACTAGCGATAAGATAGATGGTTTCCATTCATTTGAACCTCCAAGTACATATTTTCAAAAAATTAAAAAATGTAGTTGACACAAAATAAAGGTTAGACTAGGATTTGTAAAAAGTAAAAAGTTAGGAACCGTTGTTGCAATTTTCTCTAAAAACTATCTTGAAGATGTCCCAAGATTTGATTTCAAGGAGTAACTGTCAAAATTGGAAAGATATGTCCTGTTTTTACATACTAACCAAAGGTTAAGTACTACTTTTGGAATTTATCCCTGATGAACTCCTGCTACCCAGGTCCAAAGGAATCCACGACCGATCTGTCCAACAGTCACCCAGGAATTAAGATAATTGATAGCAGCTGAATTCAGCGAATCTTATAACAGCTAAAATGGCAAGCAGCGATTCCCAAACTGAGATTAACAATGGTAAGAAGGCAATAATGGTGAATATAAAGTTCAGCGGCCGATCCATACCGCTGAATATCACCGCAGATTCCACCGTCAAAGACCTCAAATCCCTTCTTCAGCCTCTCACCAATGTCCTCATTCGCGGCCAAAAACTCATCTTCAAAGGTTTCTATATCTCTTTCCGTTTGTGTATATTTATTCTAAATAAAAGAAAGAGTGCTCGTACTTGAAGTCCATATGCCAAAAAATGTAAAAAGAATTAAGTTCGTATTGAATTCTTGGAATGTTACGTTCTTGTGAATGTGCAAGTAGTCCTATTCCGGCCGCAGATGCTAGAAATGAAAAATTGGATAAGGGCGTATTAAATTCTTGATAATTAGTTTTTTATCTTTAGGTAAGGTTCTATCGGATGAATCGACTTTGGAGTCCTCGGGGATCACTGGTGGTTCAAAGATTATGCTTATGGCTTCTCAGGGTCTTCATCAAGGGGTATCTTTTTATTCCTTCATCAATTGACTGGAACCGAGATTAAATTCTATTGTGTTTGATGTTCAAGAATAAGATTAAGAGAAATCGTGCCAATGAATAGCTGTACTTGATTTTCACAAAAGTAATGTATATGCACTGATAGTTGTACTTGTGAATTTTGAATTTAAATGAAATTTAGTAGAATAGAGCTTTTTACCCCGAATTAGGGCAATCTGGATATTGTTGAATAGGATGGTCCAATTAAAAAGGAGGTCACTGGATCGTCCAGTGTGAGGAGGGTGGCTGAAGTTGGGAGGGGAAAGAAGACTGTGGATTCTGTCGAGAAGAGTCAGCTTGAAAGATGGAAGGCCACTGGAGTAGTAGCATTGTCTGAAAGCAATCTGAAGGTATGTAGAAGCAGTCTTGAATATAAAACTAGAGGTATCTTAATTTATATTGTTGTTGCTGTCTTGAATTTGGTCTCGTATGGCTTTTATCAAATCTAAATCAAGCATTCTATTTGTTGTTACACCCGTTTGGTAGTCATTTTTTTAAAATGCATTTTTTTCTCTCTTCTTTTCAACCACACATTATTTATTAAAATAATATTACACGTAAATAAAAAAAATTTCCTTATTTTTCAACCACACATTTCACATCAATTTACTATTCTAAAATGCATTTTTACATAAAAATGACTATCAAACACCCCCCACATTTTCTGCCTTCATCACTTGCCTTGTATTTTGATTATTTCTTCTTTAAATAAAATAGAATTCTTTCTTTCCTATCAGCTGATGTAGCTATTCAATAAAAAATCTTGTGCAATTCCAGAATCGTTGTAGTTCATGAACTTATTTCGGAGATGTCCACGTGGTAAACAATAGGAGAAAGAAAAAGATTTTATCAATATCTACCTCATTGCTCAAACCTAATGAAATATTCAAGTCCCTGAGGAATAGAAACATTTAGTATAAACAGAGCAAAATACCTCCAGGATTTCGTTTTATGCAGGAACAACTTGTCATAAGGTCTGCTCTATATATGGTCTGCCACATATTACAGTGTGGCATGCAATATGAATGATCAGAGCTTATTATGAAGTTTAATTCTTATTTATCACTGGAGGAAAGGAGGTAAAGTTGGAAGTTGACCATGAAAAAAGCATAAAGTTTATACATTTTCTACACTGTTTACAGCAATTAGGAATGCAATTGTCCCGCATCACATGAGCTACTCAAAAAAAAAGTTTCATGCACAATTTTGCTGCTCTGTGGGAATGGTATTGTTTTTGTTCCTACGGGAAAGTATTATGGATAGTGCTCCATCCATAACATATTGCTGTTTTTATCGGATGGAAGACTTTCTTAAACTTTGGATGTACACGTTTTATTTGCATGTAATATTCAGGTAACTAATGTTGGCTGCACGTGGTTTGCTGGATCCTTCTATTTTTTTACCCTTGAAAGAGCTCTTCTTTGTTTGAATTTGTCAGACCATACCTGAGGAAGTGTGGACTTGTGGACCTTCTGCCAGAGTCCTTGATTTAAGCAACAATTCAATACAAGATGTTCCAGCTGCAATTGGCTGTTTAAGTTCAATACAGGTCTTGAAACTTTCATTTACATTTTCTTTAATTTGTCTTCCACAAAAATGGAATCAAGTTGTTAATGTGCCTTATTTTTATTTTTTAAACTGCCGCGTAGAAATTGCTTCTTAATTCCAATTCTATATTGGATGAGTCCATCAGCTGGGAAGGAATAACATTGCTCAAGTCTCTTGCAGTTTTATCACTAAACCAAAATCAGTGCGTATATTCCTCTCCTCACAGTTTCTCTTGTCATGTTAAGTTATTCAATTCAAACAATGTAATGAGCAATTTGGATTGAAATCTATAAGTGTTCTTTTCTTTACTAGCATTCATTCATTTGTCCATCCTTCCTTGCTGTTATTGTTGTTGTAGCTGTTGCTGTTGCTCTTATTATTATTATTATTATTATTATTATTATTATTATTATTATTATTATTATCATTATTATTATTATTATTATTATTATTATTATTATTATTATTATTTCTCTCTCTTTGATTTTCTCTGATCTGTGCATTTGCTCAAGTTATTGAAACGGCGGGTCCAGTCAAAGGCTGTCAGGACAATTGCTGTAAATAATAGCAAGCACAATTTTCCAAGAGCATTAGTCAGAGAAATTAACTTAACAAAGCCAGTGATGCTGTTATTCTGCTTTCTCTAATGAAAGACGCCGAGTCTTTAATGTTACTCTTTCACACACACGTCTACATAATTCTTCTTGATTGGCCTTAAAACCTCTGAAATTCTTTCATCCCTACTTATATGAGAGAACTTAGAATTTTTTATTAATTGGAAACATGGATTTCATTATATGCACATCATTGTTTTTTGTTTTGCTTGATTACAACTTTCAGGTCAGTTGGAGCGGCTAAATTCTGTTGAGAACCTTGTATACTAGCAGTTTTGGCCCCATAAGCATAGGACGTTGATACATATAATAATATAGCAAAAGTTCGATTCATGTTATCTCAAAGAAATTACAAAAGTTCGACACATTCAGTACAATCTTGAATTGGTGTGCTTGTCTGATTTCTACACAATTAGACCCATAACTTGTAGAAATTACTTAAAGCCTATTTTTAATACACAAAGGAAAAAATAACACAAAACATGTTTTTATTTCAAAAGAATTGAAACAAAAACCAATCAAGAATTAAGTATAAAAAAGAAAAAGAAGAGAAAAAAATTAAGAGTAGTTCTGTCTTTATGTAGTGAGAATACATTTTCATCCAAACTTTTATACCTATATGAATATTTAGACAAATATAATTCTATATATCTCTGTTTTTCTCTTGCATGCCTAGAACACTTACTCCCTCATTTGCCATTGTCAATGACTCAGTTTGACGACGCTGCCCTCTTCTCTGGGTGCTTTAATGTCCCTGAAGCAACTTCATGCTACAAACAACAAGTTAACATGTCTCCCAACTGAAATCGGATATTTGACAAAGCTCGAGGTTTTAAAAGTTCAGAATAACAGGTAACATGTGTGCAATAAATTATTAGTTAGTTTTTATGTCTGCTCGTCTGTTGTTAGCATTTCTTTTTCTGAAATAATTAGATGCAGTATTTGATGCTTGCTTTTCTTTATATTCAATATTCTCTATTTTGTTCGTTTGATCATACTTGCTTCTATGGTGAACTTCATTTACTTGAGATTCTAATCTGTTTTTACATGTGAATTAAGCTTAAACTTAAAAATGAATGATGCTTTGATATTTTAATTTGATATATATCTTGCTCCAATGCAGGCTAAGCAGTATTCCTGCAAGTATAGGGGGGTGTATTTCTCTCATTGAAGTAGGACCCTGTTCAGTTCATCCTCTCCTTTATTTCTTTTTTTGTTTGTCTCTTGAAAGTTAAAGAGTTGTTTCCTTTTAGTTTGCTATATTTTTGACACTGTTCCCTTTTTATTATGGTGTATTTTAATTTTGTCATTATTATGCCATTTACTTTGTTTGATGTGGTGCAGGTTGATCTTTCGTGTAATCTCCTCCTAGAGTTGCCTGAGGAATTTGGCAAGTTAAAAGATTTGAAGGTTAATGATTATATATCATTGTTCCTTTTATTTTAAAATTAAATCCCCTCTCTTTAGAGTGACTTCTAATGAACGCAATTCACCAGAACGTATATAGATCCTCCAATTATTGAAAGAAGACTTAAGCATGTCTGGCTGAGCTTAAAATATTTACTTTAAGCAAATTTAACTGTGACCTTGTGTAATATTCGGTATTCTAGCCTTTAACAAGCCACTCTAGGGCAACAACACCAGGCCTGACTTTTGATATTACATAGATCACCACATCTCCATATCGGATTTTTTAATTTCATGACAATCATATATCCTCTGCATCAGAAAAATGACACTACTAATTAAAAGATCTGATATGGAGGTGTGGTGATCTGTGTAATATCAGGAGTTTGGCCCTACGTTGTTGCCCTAGAGTGGCTTGTTATGGGCTAGAATACCGAATATTACACAAGGTTACTATACCCCCACTCTATCAAGTAAGTTTTGAAACAAACAATAGAAAATAAAAAAATTATTGGTCAAAGTTGAAATTTGGAAATAATTAAGTTATTTATTCTGATAAGTCAAGATTTATACTTCTAGAAAAGAGTAACTTTTTACTTGAAAAAAATACTGCTCAAACATTTTTGGAGTTAGAAAGTTACTTCGAAGTAACTTTACATTTATCTAAGCTTAGCCAAATCATTATTAGGATGGGTAACAAAGCTCAGCTTTTCTTGCACCAAATACCGATAGGGCAGAGTAAAAGGACATCAGCTGCATTGCATATAAACCAGTAATTCTACATATTTGAACATTGTGCAGGCTTTATATCTCAGCAACAATGGGCTCAAGTCCCTTCCTATCACATTGTTCAAAATGTGCGTCCAGCTCTCGACACTGGATCTTCATGGAACGGAAATAACAGCAGATCTTCTCCGCCAAGTATATAAGTGCCTTGTTATTAATGAAATTTTTTTAGCGTGCTTTTATTGAGGTGGTGCTCACTTAATTTCTTGACAGTTTGAAGGGTGGGAGAGTTTTGATGAGCGTCGTCGTTTAAAGCATCAGAAACAACTGGATTCCCTAGTCACTAGCTCTGCTGAATTTGATGAAGGTGCTGACAAAAGCTGGTAATATATAACAGCTAGCATTTGCTCAATGAAGATTTGCTTGCATGTAATGAACCGGAAATTGCCATGGTACATTGGCCTTGTACGATGATCTATTGAATGTTGTTTTTTCACTTTGTTGAGGGATTTTCGTAATCACCCTGTAACATTTATTAATTTCACCATGTTCCTCTTCAGATTAGGATCTCATTGTCATGCCATTCCTTTTTCCTTCCGTATTTACTGAGATACCATATCGGGAAAAAGTATTTCTTAGGATTTTCAAGATTTGCTTGTTTATTGTTATACTTAAGCTAGAGATGATCCCAGTGTACCAAATTCCCAAAGCCAGGAATGAAAGTGAAACCATAAGATTAATTTCATTCAGCACCATAAGATAAATGCAGCAGAAATTATTGATGAATGGATGTATTGTCATGAGCAATGAGAATAACGCTAAGAGAATGTATCAAGACAGCAATAATTCGAGTAGTTCGAACACAATTTGCATAGACCTAAAATAGCTCTAGATCAATCTAACGTANAGAATGTATCAAGACAGCAATAATTCGAGTAGTTCGAACACAATTTGCATAGACCTAAAATAGCTCTAGATCAATCTAACGTAAGTCTCAGATAGCACCCAACCAACCTGTGAAAACCAGCACAGAAGGCCAGATTATGTAACACGAAACCTCCGCCCAGTAACAAACACTACAAAAGCAATAGCATACCATTCAATCCCGCAAACAGATATCGATGTAGAAAATGAAGTAACGAACGCTGTTCAATCCTTCACGAGTCTCTTAGCTAGTTATTATCAAACTTCTGGTACTTGGTATATTGGTCATATTTATTTTATACACCGTGTTGTAACTGTTATGAAAAATAGAACGTTATAGATATATCATCGCCTGAGCACCTAAATGTAAGGAAGGCGGCATATAAAGAGCTTGTCCTACAATTCTAAATCCTGAGGTCAATGTTCGAGAAAAGCTAGTTGAAGTATACTGATATCTGAGGGATGTCGATATCATTATCTTCATCATCCTCACATGCTACTACTATATCCAAGTGGTGGCGGTGTGGTGGCAGCTCAGCCTTTGCCACTTCCCGTGCAAGGTCAACTATCTTCTTGTCCATTCGCTCTTTGTGCCTTGGGAACATGCTATTGTAGAGCAAGCAACTTCCAAATGAAATACTATAGGCATTCAGTCCCTTGTCCTCGAGCCATTTGAGTAGTTCCCCAAGTGTAGGGTTACCTTTGATTATCCATCTGTCCCACACAGTCCAGCTCATGTCCTTATACTTGATGGTCTTAGGAGGAACTGGTTCGGCCATAGAGAATAATGGTAGAGCTAAATTAGCAAATGTGTTGCGATAGTCTTCTAACTTGTGCCCTCCATTAATGACCTTGTAAAGTTCCAGGCAAACCAAACCGGTAGACATCGCTGTGGAAGTTGCAATTGCGGGTATAATACGTCCAGCAATGAATTTGGCTTTTAACTTATCGACTTCGGGAATGCCATAATTTCTTGCCCTCATGTTAGCAAGTCCAGCAATCAGGTCCATGTGGTAATTTGTGTCATCATCCTGCACATTCAATAAACAATATCAAGAAAAGGGTAAATGTAGAAGTAATGTGATACTTGACGATTTTGCCAAAAATAAAAGAACAGATTGCACAAGATCGAAGGCTTTGGTACAAGGGGGAAGTGGATGAGATGGAAAAGGGGAAGAAACATATTTTCTATCCTTCATGGAAGAAATGCTGATTTATTTGCCATATTTAGCGTGATGATTAGAAAATGGTGAGGGTATTACCTTTTTAGGTATTTTGCAAAGGATTGTAGCCTGGTACTTTTGAACAAAATTGTGTAAACCTAATCTTCCGCCTTATTTTACATTCCTTCCACTTTTACTCTTAACCAACCAAAGGAAAACTTATTTCCTTTCCTCATTTCCCCCTCCATTTCCTTTCCTTTCCACACACATACATCCTATATGAATAAAGATACTTCACGAGGCACATAACTACTTCCTTTTGACTCGCAAGCAAAACAATGTCAAACAGAGTCACAACATACATTTGTAAAATAAGGATAGGTCCCACTGAGGGGTGAGGTTATAACAAGTTAAGCATCATCTTATATCTTTAAGAGACAAAGGGGCATACTTTTTCAAATTGAATTGGTTTCATCCTGAAGTTTGGCGATAACTTCTGCCGAACCTGCTCCAGCTTCATTATTAACTCATTGATAACCACAGCATCGTCCAAAGAAGCAGCAGAAAGACTGGTAGCCCTCTCATCAGTAACAATTTTTGCATCTTTCTTCGGTTGAAATTCAGGAACCACGATTCTATCAAGAGTTTCAGCCAATTTTTCAGGGGGCCAATTAGGAACAGGAATGCCAAATGTCTGAGCGCGTAGAATAGATGCAGCCACAAGGAAATGGAGATGGCTGGGATCATCAGTAGAAAACTGCAGGGGGCGAGGGAACCTCTTGGGGGCTGACCAGAATGGTACGCCAGTACTAGTCACAGCATCTTCAGGGAAAGTGTAAGTCAACTGTTTCACCCTGTTAGCAAAATAATCTTCGAACCTACAAGCAAGAATTATTCAGATGTATATGGAGATCTGGTTCTATTTGATACAGGTAAAAGCTTAAAACAAAATAAAATCAAAAATTACTTTAGACGAGCCCATGCAATACAATCTTGGAACGATTCACATCTTTCCCTGTCAAGGCACTCGAGTATACGTTCCAAATTGTCCCTGGCTTGAGCATCACCAGCATTTCTCATTGCAGATGTATATTCGGCGGGATTAGAAAGATAGGCATTTACTTCGGCAGGCATTTTCTCAAGCAAGCCCTCAAATTCTGATCTGGCCCATGTCAAGCAATGATCAATGTTGTGTGGGAAAGAGTGCACGGTACACATTGGTGCTTGTTTCTCAGGAGGATCTCTTGAGGCACCATAATTCTCAGTCAGATGGGGAATGACCATTTGAGTGTTACATTTGGCACCTAATGTTCCAGACTCAAGAAGTGGCTTTTGGAAATACAGGCATCTTTGATCAACATAAAGCCTGGCACTGACATTGTCAAGGGCATTAATCACAACGTTCAGATTTTCCCAGAAGGTATCATCAAAAACATTCTCTGTTTCAGGACCCACACGATTCTGCAAAGCTTCAATGCGGAGATGAGGATTGATTGAAGAAGCAGCAGAAGCAGCAACAACGGATTTGGCCTGCCCAATGTTCCAATCTCGAAAGAGGAACTGTCGGCTAAGGTTACTCTTCTCAATCACATCATCATCGGTGACTGTTAGTTTTCCTTGGTTTCCACAAGAAACTCCCATCAGTGCTAAATTCTTCAGAAACTCGCAGCCCAGTGCACCAGATCCAACCAAAAACACTTTAGCATCTTCTAGTCTTTTCTGAAGTTTAGACCCAAAGACTGAAATCTGGGCATCATAACGGCTATTTAACGGTCTGAAGTTGCTGGGATCCAATGGCTCCACAGGAAGTGATTCCACAGAGTCAAAGTAGAAGAACTTTACAAATATGAGAAAAAGAAGTCAGTTTACCCCAACATAGCAGTATAATACATCAAACTAGCAACCATAGGATTCAAATGTGAAAAAGAAACATAAATAATTGCTTAAGAGGAGGAAGCTTATGAATGTTGGAAAACATGATATTAACCTGGAAAAGGGGGTGAAACTTCCCTGAGCACGCCTTAACAACCTCCTGCCCAACAATGCCACCAAACATGGCTGCCATAGGATTCAGTACAGCTCGGGCACCAAAGGCAAAATGTCGCAAAAGTTTTGGATTTATATCATCGAGTTTTGCATCTCCCAAACTATCATTCAGGTTACTGGTAATAGATATCAACCTCTGCGCATCCTCTTCAGAACCAGCCACTGGAAAGTGCCCCAGTTCAGAGACAAACTTATCCAGCGATTGGAATGCCAAATGCAAGAGAGGTGGGCGGTCAAACTTAGAGAAATCGCAAAGAAGAAAATCTCCAGGATCTTTAATTGCATCCCTCAGCAGCTTGAAGTTCAATACCTTGGGCTGTTTTACCTGAGTTACGATACCACCTTTCTCATATCTACCGAAACTCGTGGTATCTTCATCAAGGATGAAAGAGTATGGTCGTGCAGTCTTTATCTTTCTCGGCTTTCCATCATTGAGTTCTGTCATTCCATGTACTTCTGAGAACACAACAAGATCCCCATCCTGAAACTCAAGCCTTTCATCATCCACACATGACACAAGAGCAGGGTTATCATTACTGATAGATGCAATAATGCCCGTATGAGGTTCCTCACCATCAACGTCGAAGACAGTAAACTCTGGTCCAAAATCACAAAAACAATTACCAAAAAGGCCTCTAACTTCAGTCTTGATGAAAGCAATAGGAGGTTGATGATTGTGACAGTATTCATTGAACTCAACTGCATTCTCCAAGCTTATGTCAGTAAAAACCACAGCCTGCATTCACCATCATCATTATACTTAATCAGTGCATAATTGCGACATCCCTAGCAAACATGTAATCCGAAATCCTCATGCATGAAAATTAACACAAGGTATAGAGCTCAAAAACGAAAGAGAAATTGCATACTGAATCACAAACAGTCGATCTGATATCTAGTTACACAATTAGACATTGAACACTTGCAATAAAAAGTAAAAAAGATGGACTAATTCTAGAAGTGAGGTAGCACAATTCATTGTGAAAATAATTCTGTAATTTCTGTCCTTTAAACTGTACGACAGTAAATTTGTTGAACTACACTACAGGGTAGTCAAAATATTACACCTCTGTTCGGCAAAATTAAAAATCATTTATAAATTGTTAAACTTCATTTCCAACCACACATTTCAATGAAACCCACAAGTACTATCCACTTATCTACAACTCATTTCTATCTATTTATAAATTATACCACTTATAAAATCTTTGACATGGGATCCATTGATAATTGGCTTTGGTGCAAGTGAGCATAGAAAGTAGGGCGACAGCTCTGCCAGGAATGATAAGCAATCAGCAGACAATTTCAGAAGTGTGCCTTTCAACACAATTGCATGAGGTATGATGGGCCAGTACTAGTAAAACATTTTTATTCATATCTCAACAGCCGTTAATCACATATTTATCAAAAGCATCTCTATGTAACATTTTCGTTTATGCATATCATATCATTGCTCAACCAATACCTAGAATCCGAGAAAAAGTAGAATAATCGCGAGAACATCTTAACAAGCTCAAATTTCTTGATATCTACATAGTGAAGGTATTCCTAGTGACAGGATCATTACTAATGACACCTGTGCAAAGGATTAACATGCCTTCATCGCCAAGAAGGGTGACTAATCTTATGATCACTTGTTTAGATAACTATAAAAGATTTTAGTTTCTAATTTGAGAACTAGTTTAACCAAAATAACTAGTCTAAAGTACTTTTGTATAAACTTTTACATACTTGTCAAAGAAAAGTCGCACACAAAAGTTACAATGATTACAGGTAACAAAAATAATAACCCGAAAATTTTACCTGGAATTCAGAAAGTTGTTCTTTCGTCAATTTCGTAGTCAGGGTTGAGACAACCACTGCATTGTTGAGCTCTTGTAGTTTCTGAATAGAAGAAAGTGCCCTGTTCTTACCAACATCATTCTCAGAGAAAATAAAGTTGCTAGACAAATCCCATAACTCCACTTTTCCTTCATCATGCAACGTGACAGACTTCACGCCCGCGAGAATAAGGTTCTTAGCTGTTAATGTTTTGCAAAAGTCAGATATCATACAAGCTAATCCAAATATTCCTTCACTCAAATTATTCAGTACATCTGTGTACATACAATAAACAATTTCCAGATTGGAAAATTGGCCTGAAATAATTCATCTTACTGGAGAAATGCAAGCTTAAAATAAACACCAGAACAAAACAGACGTTTGAGCCAAAAAAATTCACTCACAAGGGGAAAAAAAATCAAAAACTCATTATTTTATTATAAAGGCTTTATCATCTAAATCTACCAAACCTAAAGTTCAAATAAAAATTAATTGAACATCAGCAGTAAATATAAACTTCCGCAAAAAAAAAAAAAAGAACCAGCAGCAGTTCGGATCCAGAAGATCTTTTTGGGTGATCTTTCTTTATTTTGAATGAATTAGCGTAATCCAGATTTCCATATCCAATATCGAATTATACAGATAAATAAAATTATTAACTCAATCACATAAGCACGTTAGTTCGTACTCAAAAATGGAAGAATTCCTACCGATCTCAGCACCGAGGCCTTGCAATCCAGATACAAGAATGTTTGACGCAAAAAGCCGCCGCATCGTCTCTCGTCCATACACAGCAAGCTGCCGGCTATGGAGATCTTCATCAATATCGTTCGATTTTCCAACGTCAAAGGCCATTTCCGTAATTGAAAGCTCCTTGCGGGTGCAGCTGTCGTTACTGTTTCTGTTCTCTAAACTAACACTTTTGGTTCCGTCAATGTTGGTCTCTTGACTCCCACTGCCACTTCCTACACAAATATTCTTACTATCGGCGAAAAAACAGAGACGACTCTTCTTCAAAACGCTTTCCGATTCACTTTCTTTAACAGCTTCGCCTTCCAAAGGTCTCTTTCTAGGAAGCATATAGTACAACAAACTGCACAAAGCCCGCCGAATCCCCATGAAAATTAACAAAATCAGTAAAAAATATATCAAAAAATCAAAAAACGAAAGATCAGAACAATTATTTATATCCTCTAACAAATTTAGAGCGATCGACGCTTGTATCACCATACAACAATAAAAACATTAATAAAAATGTAAAACATGATAGAATTTACTTTACAAAACCGATTGGACGTGCAAGATATGAAGCAAAGGATGATCTTACCGATTAGACTAGCTCAGATGAAGAAAAGAATCGAATCTTCGAGAAATTTGTAGACAGAGAATTTGATAGAGTGGAAGAAGAGGAGAGGATATTGGTTATTGGTGAATATAGAGTATGACAAAATTGACCGGAAAAGAAAATTTAAATTTATTGTTTTTTGGTTGCAGTGTCGGGAATTAATGGCGGACATTCACAAGGAAATG